CTCTGAAAAGAAGAACCTTAATGTGGCAAAACAATAGCACTCAGCCCCCCACTACTTTTAAAAGCGGTCTCACACTGGTAATCTCGATCCTCGACTTGCAGGCCTTCCCTGAGGATGAGTGGCAGAACCTGGCTGATTCAGCCTTGATGTTCCCTGCAATTCTACTGACAAAAAAAACCCTTCAGCTCCAAGCCCTACCTCAGGCTGTTGCTCCTCTTGCATCCCTGCAGCGTAGGCTTACTTTCACCAACCACACAAGAACTGCAAGAAATAAAAGAAATTGAAAAGAATTAAAAATTAACTGTATAACCCAGAATACTTGGGGGGGGTTTGCAAGGTGTTTCTATCATCTCTGATAAAAGTTCAAATGATGAAAGTTCAAGTAATAACAGCAAACTGAAGATGCACAAATAGCACCTTTTCAACTCTACTGCTGTTAAACCCCCCCCCAAAGTAACAGAACAAAACAAAAAAACCCCAACATCAGTAGGGTAAAACTAGCCTGTCTCAATCCAGTTTTTTACTTGGTTCTCAATCTAGAGCATAGTCCTGTTCTCAGACACAGTGAGGATACCTTGATAAGCAAAGGTGGATTTAATGGGAACTCAGAACCTGCTTTTATTGCAAAAATGTCTTTTTCCTCCATATCACTCATAAGTAGTTGATACAGGATGGCTGTCAAAAAGGTTTCAGCAATAGCAAAAATCTTGCTCAACTAGATTAGTGGTTCTGCCTCGTCCGAACAAACTACATCAAGACAGTTTTTAGACAAGTTTTAGGAATTGTCTGTATTTCTGGGACTTCACTCCTACAAGGAACAGGAGAGCAGTCACAGTCTTAATATTCAACTCGAGATATACACATTATTATCTGATCTGCATCACGTTATCATGGATATATTCACAAATATACCACAGTCAGAACACCAGATGCCTGTATGAAAACTCCCGGGAAGTGGGTTTTCAAACCCTTAGTGAATGGTTTCCATGTCTTAGTTTTAAGATTCTTTCTTCCACTCATTCAAGTTCAGAAGTTCTCCCTGAAGCTGGCAGAGTGCTATGATTTGACTTTGATGGTACTCTAAGGGGACTGCACAAGCTACTGAACATGTGACTAGTGCTCACTCTGCTTATTCTTGCTATCCCACTAAAACTGAAGCGCTCTAAGAAAGTGCTGCTTCTTCTCTAGAGCATTTTGGGCTACTTCCCTCTGACCTGCTTCACAGTACACGTGAATAGTGTTTTATTTTATTAGACTGGAGAGTAGTCCTGACCAGCTTACTTGTAAAACACATTTGCAGCCCCACTCTGAAGAGCGGAGGGACCTGCCCTGTGCCCAGGTGAGGTGGGAGGAAAGATGGCTGGAGCTTGGGTGATGGCATATTCCAGCACATGAAGAACACAATGGCAAAAGAGCCTCCCAACACCTCCCTTCTCCAAATGCAACGGTCTCCTTGAGTCTGATTAGCGCTCTGCATCCTGGTTTCTAGTCTTTGTTTTCAAATGTGTTGTTTTGCTTTCTAGCTTTGCTTAAAATACGCTTCTATAACAAGCGCTTTCACCTGGGCATGGTGAAGCATGCAAGTGCAATTCAGACAGCTGGCACACCTCCCTCACACACACGGAGGGGCTTCAGCAATTCACACCTTTGTGCTGTCCACTGCTAGTGGTCAGCCAGCCAGCTGCAGATCACAGCTGCAGGTGGGGCAAGAGAAAGACAGGGTGGCCAAGAGCCTGGCTTCTACAAGCTCCCTGGAGCAAAATCCCCACAAAACCCAACAGAGCTCCATGCCCCGGGCAGGCAACAGCTACAGCATCCTGAACCGTGAGGCAAACACCTTGGTAAAACAAAAACTACACACTGCAAACAGTCCACAAGTGGTAGTTAACAGACTATTTATTCAAAAACACGCGAGAAGTCTGCACAAGCAACGTACAACGCCGTTGCCCAAGTACTCCATTGTTTTTGCTACAATGCGCAATATAAACTTGGAACGATGACCACACCTTCCCCTTTTCCAAGGAGTCTAGCAAAGGAAACTGGGATGTCAGAGTAAGCTGAAACAGCAGGTGAAGCTGAACTGCTCTTTTCTGCTTCAGTGTTTCCACGATTCACATGCAGTGCGGGCAGTTCTAAAGCACCGCAGAGGGTAACCCCTGCCCTGAGATCCGCAACCTGAACGCGGACACGCCAGCCCACTGACACCCAACGCAGGGCAGCCTGGCGGTGTTGAGGGCTTAAGTGAACCTGGCGCCTGTTTTTATGCTGTCCTGTCTCTGTTAGATTGGTTTAACTATCTGTTGACTTGTACAGTAAACCAGACTGGAGAGTACATTCAGGTTAAAAAACAACCTTTTTTTCCCCACCCTACCAAGGCATTTTAAGCTCAGATGATCAAACAGCTGCAGGAACAACTATGGCAGCAAAACTGAAGGGACAGTATGAAGCAGAGATGCTGAAACCAACACCGTCCTCTGAGAAAACAACGTTTGTCTAACTACAACATCGGTCAGGAGTGTACCAATACTCTGATGCTCAGCTCTGGGCTTGGTTCTCAATTGGTTTATGTGCAACATACCACAGTGGTTTCTGCCAGAGAATCACGTGGCCCTAAATACAAACTGAAGTTCTAAGCTTGGTTAATGACTGCCGAGGTTTGAAAACATGTCTCTTATCTGCGGGACTGCTCTTAAAAATAGTCAACTACAAGTCTCAGTTAAAGAATAGACTTCTATAGAGAAGTACCAGGCGTTTTTTTCCACGAAGTGACACCTTAGAAAACCTCATTCTGTTCTCACCACTGACTAAATGAAGTGTCCGATGTTGGAGAGAGAATCTTCTCAAAAGTTTACTCATGCTAGCCAGCACTGCTTTTTACCTGACTTGTACAACCTTTGGAGAAATTAAAGCTATTCAGTGTGGCTCCCAGCTCCACCATAGCACGGTTCCAGCCTCTGCAGGGAATCCATGGCACAATACCACAATGGTCAGATGAGAAGCTGGGCAGCCACACTGACAGTCAAGTCTGCCACCACTTTCTTCTAGGAGATCTTGTTCTCAGCTGCTTAGATCTGCTCAAGATCTACTAGAGGTGAAATTTTCCATGCAGGAGACCTGTTTCTGCATTTATTTTTTTTTTTTTAGAACATGCCCAGTAATTCAGGTTATTCAGTCAACATTAAGAAAACTCTTACAACTGATTGTCATCAGCAAACTAAAACTCAACTGAACAACTGCCATGAAAATCTGAATGTGTTCAAGCTCTTCCTTAGTGTGAGGAACAACAGGTATAAAACATGCCAACACCAGAGTACAGACAAGGCTGGCTGCTCAGCTAGACAGTGCCATCATGGACAACATAAGAGAAAATACATATATTCTGGGAACTAGTCAAATACCATGGATTCCAGGTTGACCTAGCTCACCTGTGTGGAAAAATTACCATCCCTGTACACACACCTATGTATTCACAGAAGATATCCACATCCCACGATACTTCAAATAGTAATCCCAAAACCTCTGAGGACTGAACATACCTTGCTGTTACACAGACTAGGAACTAAAGCATATGAATCTGTATGCACTTCCTCCCACTGGGTCCAACAGCAAGAAAAATGGTGCTGATTCAGACCAAATCCTGGCAAGCATCTGGGCAACTTAAATCCAAGCATTTCTAAATTTCTTAGAGCTTGATTTGTCTACCTTGTGGTTTCTTTTTTTTTTTTTTCTTTTTTAAAATAAAGTTTAACTTCCTAAAGAAATGAGACTAGGTAACAAGGCAGAGCTTATCTGTCTGTACTTGCTAACCTACAGGTGAATTTTAAACAAACTTCGTGTGGAGGTAAGTCTCACAGTCATTCAGCGATGCCCTGCACAGCACTGCTCCTCCAGGAAAAAAAGATTACTGAAGATTACAGGGAGTGGTATGTGTGAAAAAGAGAAGGTCGGCAGAACCTGCCAGGGAACAGAAGGAAATTCAACCTCAAGTTGTAAAGCCACAGGCAAAAGAAGCTGTTCAGACAATTATTTATTGTCTTCCGCAATACATATACACAGCATCTCAACCTCAAGTTATTCTACTTACCATGGGATTTGGCACGAACATACAAAACCCATCAACTCCCCTCTCCTCCAGCTACTTCAAAGGCCTGTAAGAGGCCCTCATGAGATAAATCACGTGCTGAAAATCTCAGATATGACAGTGCATTTCTTTCAGACAAATTGGGAGATGCAGCTTCTAGGCACTCAAAGATGAGCGATTAGAAAGTATTTCTGTTCTCTTATCTGCCAGGAGACTGTCAGTCATGGTTTAGCCCAGGCAGCACCCATCACATAGACCCAGCACACTGTCTTAAATCTGGGATTCACTCCTCCTGCTGAGACTGCCACCAAGTAAATTCCTGGAGCCAGAAGAAACAAGAAGGAACCTGACCTGGCTCCTTATACCTAGCAAGACTGGGCTTTGCCTATGGAATTTTCTTGAAAGGACTCCTTGATGACTGAATTCCCAATTCAATCACCTTTTTCTCCAGCAAGTGGAATTCTTGTGCTTGCTTCATCTTCGCTAGTCCTACAGTACTTGCCATTCTCCGAGTGATTAAATATTGGTTTTTATGTATACACGTATGAACAAGTGAAAGCCTTTTTCACAGCACTAGAGATACCTAGGCAACCAAACAGGAATTTTTGAGAATTGCACCCAAAGAACTGAAAGCCTAAAATTTAGCCATTACTCATCCTATTGATAGGCACCTATTTCCTTTCAAGGTTGTCTTGTCCTGACAGCACACGCAGGGCAGCCGTTCACACTGACAACAGCACAGTGGAAAAGGGGCCATATTCTTCCCCTACACCTTGGGGATTCTTTTCTTCCCCCCTTCCTCCCAACACAACAACCTGTGTGCTCCTTTCTGAACTTCAGTGCAACATCTTCTAGCAATGCTTATCCTGCACAGTGGCTGACAAAAGTAGGGTGAGAAAGATCTCCCTGCCATGCTATTTCACATCAGTCCTCCAGCTTTCCTAACGTAAAACAGCTTCAGCAGAGCTTCCTCTTCACGTGAAATCTGCTCGTGAACTACTGGCTCGTTTTTCATACTGGGTAGTCTCAGCTGACCCAAGTGTTTCGGTTCCAGCAGCATATTTAGGCATCTGAAACTCTCTTTGCTTGCAGTCTTGAGGAGACAAGAGGTACACCCACAAGTCAGGGGTTCTAGCAAGGA